AAGCACCTTTCGCCAAGCCGCGTCTGAACCTTTCTCGACGTACAACACCTCTACTTTAAGTCGTGGAGGAGCCGGGGTTCCCATCAACCTAGAACTTCGCAATCGAACGCTACCCTTACCGTTCACCATGATTGCTCCTGCCCCTTCTCAAGCTACCTCACCAACGAGAGTCTTTTGTACTGGCGTGTCTTAGCAACGCGGCCCACCAATTTTTCGCGGCAATGAAGAACATGACGTCGGAGACTGGCTCATCGACTACGAAATCATAAGTGCTTCCAACAAATGGAACGCCTGCGAGCAGCTCACGAACGTGCGTTTTACTTCGCTGATGTGGCTAGCATCTGGTTCAAGAACCACGAAGGCGAAATCACCAACTAGTGCACCTTCAAGAGCACCATTACCGCGCTCTTCGGTCGTCCCACCATACGCTGGCTTTGCGCGGAACAGCGTCTGCGTAGTCGAGTCCAGTGCAGATACGAGACTTTTACAAGTTACATCGAAGATGCATTGTCTCTTTGCAAGCGCCTCGATGGATCTCTAACCAAACACGACAAAATCAAGCACTTCATGAAAGGAGTTGACGACGATACCTTCCAGATGCTCGTCGCTAGGAACTCACAGGCTGTCAGCGACGTTGTCCAGCTCTGTCAGGAGTACGACGGGTTGCGTAAGCAGTGTGTCTCGACGCGCAGGGCCGCTGAAGGCACAGCTGAAGTTTCCGCCCTCGTGCATGGCGTCGCTGCTGATGACACCGCCTTACTGCCCCACATCAAACAATTCAACCGTGAAGAACTTGCGAGTCAGCTTTCGTCGTCGTCAACTGCGTCGTCGTCGAACTCTCCAAGACCTCCTCTTTGTCCGCTCAAAGAAATCGATGTGCTAGTAGAAGGTGTCGCTGTACGTGCATTTGTCGACGCTGGCGCTGCCGTTATTTGTAATTAGTGAAAAACTATGCCGCAATTTGACAAACGTTACTATGCCGCTTACGAATCTTTTCCTGCGTACAGCCACCTTCCGATTCATCGCACCGACGGCTCAGTGCACAGCACGCGTTCTTATTCAAGATGTTTGGTACACCGTCAAGTTCGTCGTTTTCCCACGTTCATTTTACGACATCGTATTAGGATAGGATTTTTTTTCTACCCATCAGGCCCTCGTTGACTGCGCTCGTGCTGAACTCACGTTGACGAATCCGTACCTTGATATTGATCACCACAGTCCCTCGAAAATGTTTGCCGCATCTGATATCCACATCGCCTCTTTGTCCACCGTCCTAGTGCCTGTGTTTTCCCCTGCTGCCAGTAACTCAACCCTCGTCCTCCCATCATCCTCCCGTTTGCCGTCATCAACTTTTCCAATGATTCGGCGGCACTTTATGCGTGCAATGTTTCTACTTGTTCATACATCCTGCTACGCGGTGAGTGTCTGGAGAGCATCGAGCCCTTATATTGTATTTTCGAAGATCCGATGTATACAGACGAGCCATTTCTACCGACTTGTGCCATTACACCAGCAACTGACGTCAATGACCCTACGAATGTATTCCGCAAGTCCATTGATTGCCACCTGACGCCTGGGCAGCAGGAACAGCTGATCAAGCTCCTCCAGCGTTTTCGAGCCTCCTTTGACCACAATCAGCCTCCATTAGGTCGAGTGTCATCTGTTGTTCACCGTATAAATACCGGTCAAAACACACCATTACGACAGCGTCCATTTCATGTGTCAACTGCCGAACTCCGGGTCATCAACGAACAGGTCGACAATATGTTGAAATGTGGCATAATCGAACCATTAAGCAGTCTCTGGGCCTCTTCAGTTGGGCTGGTGAAGAAAAAGGACGGATCCATCAGGTCCTGCGTGGACTATACCGACGTCTCAACCGAATCACGCGCAAGGATGTCTATCTGCTGCCACGCATTGATGATGCCTTGGACTGCCTACAAGGAGACGAATTTTTCGCTTCTTTAGATCTGCGCTCTAGAGACAGGCGGTCTGCAGTACGCATGTCTGCAAGTACACGTCAGACAGCGGAAACCTAATCAACATCATGCAACTCTCGATTGCATTTGTCTGTCCAATTGACAACTGGATTTCTCGTGAACGCGACATAATTATCCCTTTTCGTGCTTGCCGACATAACCAGCGTCGAGAGAAAGTGTGAGCATCATTTCAGTCGCGTAGCATGTAATTCTTTCAATATTGTAACCCTCGCCATATTTTGATTGATATGTGGGGTTTAACGTACCAAAACCACTATATGATTATGAGAGACGCTGTGGTGGAGGGCTCCGGAAATTTAGACCACCTGGGGTTCTTTAACGTGCACCCAAATCTGAGCACACGGGCCTACAACATTTCCGCCTCCATCGTAAATGCAGCCGCCGACCCTCTCTATATTTTGACGTGTACGCAAGTGCTGAAGAAATACTGCAAGCACACATGAACATGCGCGCACACATGCATGCACACTTTGTGAGTTACTCATATTTCGGTAAGAAACAGGGTGGCGTGATTAAAAATGAAGACACATGTACGACATGAGTTAATTTAACTGTATTTGCAACTAAAAAACGCATAATGGATTGATCTACCTTCATTCCTTCATCGTCTCCAAAAAGACACAGTGACCTTTAAAACCGCCAATCAATGACTGCATAATGTCCATACGTTGCTTTGACCGAAATGTGTCGTTAATATTGGTTTATGCGTGTTCTGTTTCGAAAGGCCTCTATTCGGTGATTATCTGTGTAGGCCAGCATCATGATAGTTGCGCGATGTCTCTGTGGGAACACATAGTTCTTTTTTATAATATTTTTTGAACATTATGGCTACTACTACTTGGCGAGTATTACGCCCTGAGAAAACCGTAAGAACCTAATAAAACTATTCGCTGGCATCATTCTTCTTTGTTGTAAGCTATTATCATTAAAAATGACGTGAGAAAACATATACCCATGCAACGTTTACGTGCGAAATCGCATCGTCTTCAAACAGCTGAGAATAGGCTGCTGTCACTGATAGGCGTGTACCTCGCCACACAAATCAGCGAAACTCTCATAGCACACGCACGTGCGAGAAATATACGCAGGCTTCAACAGTCGAACACAACATCGTAGTGCTGGTATCCGCAAACATCGGTGAGCGAAACATCCGCGGCTCACGGTGAGGCACTAAAACGACGCACGAACACACGTTAGACATACTTGCGGAACGGCGCACCACGAACTGAAGTCGGAGCCGAGTTCATGAAGCCCTACAAACTATTCGCTGATCAAATGCATGCGCAAACAAATGCATATGGCACAAAAAAGCTCAAGGTTTCACCGAAGGTTAGCAAAAAAGCGACTTGGTAGATATATACCCGTAGAAAAACATGTCTTCATGCGGTGGCGCTGTGGTGCAATGGATAAGACATATATATATGTGGTGCAATGGATAAGCAGAATCGGGCAGCGCGCTTCATCCTTTCAAATTACCATCGCACCTCGAGCGTCACATCAATGAAAACTACACTAGCATTACCCCTACTGTCTCTTCGCAGGAAAGTGTCTCGGCTGTGTATATTCCATAAAATTTACTTCACCAATCCGTTACTCAGAAGCAGATTATTGGCCCAACCAACTTACGTTTCCACTCGCATTGATCATCGCCATAAAGTAGGACTTCCTTTAGCGCACACCAAGTGTTTTCATAATTCATTTGTGCCAAAAACATCTGTATGCTGAAATCATCTTCCTTATGATATTGTTGGTATAAAAAAATGCTGCTTTATTTAAAATTGCCGTCACTAATTTTATTTGTACGTAGCCTCAGTTCAACCCTGTAGCAAGCGACGATTGCAATTTTTCTGTTGTTGTATTTTGCTTTGTATGCTGTACATGTATGTATGTACCCACTCCCCTCTGTAATGCCCTCGGGCCTTGAGGGTAACTGAATAAATAAATAAATAAATAAATATGCTTCACGTGCATTAGGTCCTGAGATTGATTCCAGTGCTGAGTGTGGTTTGCATGTTAATGTCGTAATTGTAAATAATTTTGGTACAAATTGATTTCTCATTACCTGGAGTCATAGAATTCACCGCATTATCGGCGAGAAACCATTCTCGATTGCGTAAAATCATGCTTTTTTTACGCAACCGCGTCAGGTTCAGGCCACCTACGGAAATGTCACGCGTACCTACAGGCCGTACCCAGGAAAAAATTGACTTGAAATCTCGGCTAATCATTGTCCCGTCTATTCTGAAGGCCACTTCTAATTGAGCTGGTAACTCTGGGGCATGGCTATGGAGCCACGTAACCGACTCACTTTAAGCGGCCATAAATTTACTTAATTCACTGCCTACTGGCGTGTTATCCGGCTAAGATTTGACTAAGAGTGTAGGACAAGACAAAGGCGAATTACCAACTCAGCCAAAAGTTCATACTTCTATATTGTTTTTCATCACCTACTTTTGCGTGCCTTACGATGTCGGTGATTTCTACTGCCTACTGGCGTAATAAATATGTAGCACGGTTGATTTTCAGTCCGGGTAGCTTGTTTCAACAGCCAAATGTTTTGTCCTTTATTCTACTTGGTAGCTGTAGTTAATGGCTAAACGTTAGAGACAAGCACAGTCAGACAAATAGTCGAAATAACAGAAATCACTCCAAATATGCTAATATTATAATTTGCTAATTAAGCCTGAAAACCAAACTATGATTACCACGGAGGCCGTTGAGGACAGCTCCTGATATTTCGACCAGCCGGGGATCATTAATGTGCTACTAAAGTTAAGGTCACGGGCTTTTAGCAGATTGCCTCAACCTATATGCGTCCACCGTGGCTGATTTTAGAATCACGCCACCTACGGGTAACCTTAGCTAATACAGAGCTGGCAGATCGCTTAGATTCTGATCGTAACACAAATGCTTTTTAATACGTAGTTATAGCTGTTTTAGCCAATGTACGTTCTTTTGAAATGCACTCGATACCGACTGGTGTCGTGCCGTCATGCGTAGGTGGTGTTGGTGGTCTCCGACCGTGGTGACAACAGGCTCATTGCGGACGTCTTGAGTGCGCAGGCGCGCGACCATAACGTCACGGTGCAGCACACGTACTACGTGCCGAACGACTACAGAGACGACGCCAATGGAACGATACGACGCATTATCCGTGATTCCCACACCGCCACAAGAGGTGAGCCTCGCTTCAATTCTGGATTTTTGAAAATTTCCGTTCCTACTTACGTAAAGCTCGCATGCACGTATCATCAGTGTTTAGCAAAAAAATGTTTAATGATTTCGAATACTTCGTAATCAACTATGGGAGAGCACTGAGCCGTCCCGTTTTCAGATTTTGGTGGCCGCGTCATCAGTATCTTCATATTCATTTCTTTTTGAGCTCGATAACCTTGTAGTACATACGCTCTAGAAATTGTATAAAAAATATGACTTACTCTTTGGTGAGGCTCTTGTAACACTTTTCTAGTTCTTGTTAGGAGGTCAAACCGACAGCTTTAACTACGGGTCCTCTGAACGTGTATTTATTTGCCTACATTCTTGTATTGTTATTTGGTCCTACAAAAGCTATCAAAATCGAAAAAAAGAATGCCAACACGTTTAAATATTCCTGTTAACAAAATGTTTGAATAAATACATGTGGAACAATAAATTTTAACAAATAAAAAGAATAATAACACGCTGACAGAGATGAGATGTAATGAGCAGGTAAATTAGAAGCGTGACGGTTTGGACTAGTTGGTATGACATGACAAATATTATAGCGTGAGCTTATGCATGATTGATAGCTAATATTAGAGGCTACAGCAAAATGAATCTTGAGATATTTTCTTTGCAAGCCCCAATTACGGGTCACGAATGTTTGGAAATTCTGAGGGACATTCTCTTGCCTATTAGAGAAACGTTATTTGCAAAAAGTGTTAGGAAAAGTTACGCGCACGCGCATAACGTCTCGACATGCACGGGGGCCACTGTGCACGGCTCAAGTATGCGTTCCTCAATAGCAGACATTGCAGCTTAATCTGGAAGGCCAAGAAAGCACGCTCAGTTGGAACCAACAGAACAATTTATTGTGGTACGTAAATCATCCTATTGCAATTTCTCGAAGAAACAAGAACCCTAATAAACACACACTTTGTGTACGCCTGTAAATATTGAAAAGTGGGTTTGCTTTTTGGCAATTTTAGTGCACCATAATGTATCCTTCAGGGGTGATATTTATTACGCGTTTCTAATGCGGACGGAGGCGTTCTGTTCGTTACGTCAAAAAGTGAGTGATCTGCATTGGTTGCGAGGACGAGGGGAAGTGAAGAGCCAATGGAGGCGTAAGCACAAAATGCCTTCCCCCCACCCCACCCCCCCAAAAATGAGAGAGGTCCTAATAGTCTTTTGGGTAACGTTCGCAAGGGCCTGTACGCCGGGCAGGGAACATCCAGGCAGTGGTAAGGCGCCGAGACACTCAAGGAGAAGGGAACACTACTGCCGTTGAGACGCGTCCAGCTTCCCTGTAGGACGCACCCCGTGTTTTCGATGGACGCACTCAGTGTGTCTGCAAAGGACGCCAACACGCTTCTAACACGCTGGTGCTGTTATGAAGAACTTTATTGAAGTCCTGAGGATCAGTCCAGGACCGATGCTGGCTGCTCTTACGTTGGGACAGAGAGGCCAAGCCCCTCTGCCACCACACTGGCCTCCTGGACAGCCCTGAGTTGGTCCGCCAATGCGTCACTGTGTAGCATTCGCTGCCACCACTGATCACCGTGAGAAGCCACAGCGGCCAATGCCGTGCAGCGCAAGCGCATGTGTTCAAAATTGCGCAAGCCCCCACACTTAATACAATAGATCGGGACCCCGCAATCCGGATTAATTTTATTCACGATGACCGGTAGAATATATTTCATTACAGAAAATGTACCAGAGAGTTACCACGGAGTGAATGAAGAGTGGGGCGAAGCTGGAAAGGGTTTCATGGCATCGGTAAGCTGTAAACCCTCCTTCCGTTCATATGTCTGTCTGTCTGTCTGTTTGTCTGTCTGTCTGTCTGTCTACAACACAGACACGAACAGAAAATTGAGGTGGCTGTGACAAAAGAGGGCGGATTGAGCCACAGAGTTTCCTAAAATTAACTAGAGTGAACTCCGTCGCTTCAACCGTTCAGCGACCATGGGAATGATGGGTAGTATGCATATTTGCCTAGTATTCGTACTTGTGGCTTCGTTTGTTGCTGTGTTTCGGTTTTGTTCTTGAAGAAAGATTCAACCCTTTTGAACTTCATGACCCGATTTGAAAAGGTAAGTCTAAAGGACTTAGGTGGTGAAGCGCAGCCGCTGTACACTTGCTGATTTTTGTTTCATGAAAAAATAGCTTCAAGCCTCACGAACACACACGGAGCCAAAAGCTGGCCAGAAGTACGAAGATTAGACAAATGTGTGTACTACCCATCATTCCCATGCTCGCTGAAGCGCTGTGCGTTGCAGCTCCCATATACACTAGCGCCAGAGTTCCCTATAGTGCATATTTGAAAACTGTACGGATTGAGCCCCAGCGTAAGTGCATTAGGCCCACTGCGACGCCATGATATCAAAGCACCCGGATACTGAAAAGGCACGAATTGATTGATTGATATGTGGGGGTTAACGTCCCAAAACCACTATATGATTATGAGAGACGCCGTAGTGGAGGGCTCCGGAAATTTAGACCACCTGGGGTTCTTTAACGTGCACCCAAATCTGAGCACATGGGCCTACAGCATTTCCGCCTCCATCGGAAATGCAGCCGCCGCAGCCAGGATTCGAACCCGCGCACTGCGGGTCAGCAGCCGAGTACCTTAGCCACTAGACCACCACGGCGGGGCGAAAAGGCACGAAGCGCTTACATTTCAATCCAATTCATGCCACCTCGCGGCCATTTCAACCCAACTGTTTCATTTCAGATGGTCTCTTCAACCGTTCCTTCATATCCGTCCCGAAAACGGACGCAAACAAACACGCCAGACATGGCTCTCGTGAGATGGAACGTTTCGGCACGATTCACGGCTCAAATAGGTCAGTCGGGGGCCACTCGATGGAACCGAACGCCTCCATCTGAATTAGGCTCACGTCACATTGAACGTCCCGGCATTACTCACGGCTCAAATGAGCCAATCATGAGCGACTCGATGGAACGGAACGCCTCCGCCCGAATTTGTAATGTGTATGAAATCGCACCACAGCTCTGGTGAAATAGTTGACGTCATGGACAACTGGGTTAAAGAGAAGTTAGCAAAGCATTAGACGTGTATATGTTCTTTACGTAGGCAGCGGTCAGCCTTACTGGTAGATTACAGCGTTTCAATGAATGCAGTTGCTTGACAATTAAAACAATATCCGACCAATCATTGTTGCATGCACTGACTATTTTCCCAAAATGATATAGCTTAGCAAAACGTAGGGATAACGCTTAGCACTAATAGCTAAAGCCTTCATAAACCACTCTGAAAAATAGCGAAAAAAGCGTTGATGCACACAGTTTTTTTTTTTTTAGGGGCTAAGCTCCTTATGGCGTGGCTTGTTCGTCCCTCGTAGTACGTAACCACCAGTGGCACATACCCGAAATAGCCGTCCTTACGATTTTGACCTCCAAGGTGGTTCCGGTGAGAGATTTCTTCTGTGCGTTGTTGAACAATAAAAGATAATGCTCAATGCACATGTTAATGGCTGCTAAGGGGGAATGAGAGACAGGAGCATTCGGCCTTTAGGTAACGCGCACGCTGCGATTCCCATTAGCAGCTATTGGCATGTACATTTAGCACAATCTGACAAGAAAGGGTTGCTACGTTATACTCGCTGGGTGTAGCCTCCTTGGTTTTAGAAAGGTTTAGCGAGCGTTGGGCCACATAGCCATGAATACAGTGAACTAGTATATACCATGAACTCGAGGTGGTTAAAGGTGGGAAGTAAACCCGAAGCGCAAGCCGTAAGAAAGTGCCACCTCCCGTTTAGTCCTTGAAATGTCCGCTAGATGGCAGTGCTTCTATATGGAGAATATATGATGAAAAGATGCGAGATGGTGGTAATAGATGGACGAACGGACACACAGACGCATGGATGGACGCATGAACGGATGCTGGCGCGGAAGCATGAACGAACGCAGGGACGGACGCACGAACAGACGGACGCACGGACGGGTGGATGGACGCATGGAAGGTTACACAGACGTACGCAGGAACGGACGGAAGCTAAAAACGAATGGACGGACGAATGCTTCACCCCACTCCCCATCATTCACTCCGTGGATATGCTGCCATTTTTTTTTGTCTGTTGGCCAGCGCCTTCTCTGAACTGGCTTTCTGTGTAAAGTTTGGCGTTAATATCACCTCGGCTACTCCTTTCTAATGACTTTTCTAGAGAAAAATAGTTTAACCAAAACCAAGTGAAAGAAGAAGCATAAAAAACTGAAAAAAACTGAAAACATAATATTTAAAGGGCAGTTCACCTGCTATTATTCCCTTTTGTTAGAACGTTCACGCGCACACATTTCACGTGCACCCACAGTGTACGGACTACCACGTCATTTTGGTCATAATAACGGATATCTCTTCACCACAAGCGCTCATATGCTGCAGTGCTCCTCAGAACTCTCCCAGTAAGTACAGACGCAATTAGCTGAAGAGGCACTGAAATGCACGTGATTTCTGTATGTGAAGGCATCTGTCCAAACTCACTAGTTACTCGTATAGGTTTTCCTTTTTTTTGCACTTGCATACTTTACGCACTGTAGAATAATGTAGCTAACGTTTCCATCATGATGACTGCAGGAACATTTCGGTTAGTAGTATCGGTGTATCCGTTCTAGGAAGCTGTTGTAGTATAGTCTAGGTGTGTGAAATAAGGTCTGTGTGCATCGTGGGAGATCACCCGCAATATAAAAACATTTTTTTTCGATCAACCTCTTGAAGTAACGATTGCTTTGGTTCAGTGCTATGACACCAGCTGTTTCGTTGAAACATGTTATGTTAAACTAACTAATCCTTCATTAAGAACATTTTGACTTATTCATGCTTCAGCTGAAACACATTTAGACTCTTCATTCATCGTACGCAGTGTACGTGCTTTTAGCGGAGACTGGTGTCCTCGTGGATTTTGTGCGCCTCATGCATCAGGTGGGACTGCTGGAGGGTGGCGAGTACGTCATCGTCTCTGTTGAAGAGGAGGATACGTACGACCGGAGAAACAAGTACCAGTACATGAAAAAAGGTGAGTGTAAGCAGTGCGAGTCAAACCTTTAAGCCTTTTTTTTCTGAAATTGCCATTTTTAGACTTTTTGTACTTAACTCGTATACACGTAGTAACTGTAGGGGAGTACGTGCAAAACCACAGTGTTATACAGTTACAATTAGACGTCAGCAGAGGCTTTGCAGACGGAAGCTGCCAGCCATGGCACACTGCGTCGTTGTTGGAGGTGTCCGAGGCACTCAACTAAAACTGCATATTATTATCAGGGGCTTTCCATTGGAGGGCCCTTACGATTTCGACCATATAGTGTTCTTTCACTTGCACCTAAAGACAACACACCCCTCTGGCATTTTACCTCCACCGAAATTCTGCTGCCATGACCGGGATTCATATCCGCGACCAGTCTGTCAGCAGTGAAGTGCCGTGTAAAAGCTAGACAACTGCATAGGCCTATCAAATTAGTGTTGGTCACGTTGACAATACATCTCCTGCAATCCTTGTCTTCAAAAGTGTCGCAGAAAGTAACAATAATTTTTCGTCTTCTGAGTATTTGATAACAGCACGACAACGGTAGTGCAACAGTAAATATAACAATAAATTTACGCTACATATATAGTAAGCTAGTTTTTAACTGAACGCCAAGTAATTATATACAAATCCAGGTCCTCCTCTTCGTTTTGACAATATTTTGGGGATTTCAAGTAAGCTTCTTCTCTCTGGGATGTGAGTATTTATCTTAGTTTTATTCCAATGCTTCTTGTGCACTACGTGAGCGTCAAAAAACGGAAAGCAAAGTGTATACTGCACAACACCTAAACCTAAAAACAGCGATTATTTAGTGAGTTTGTAAAATCATTGGCACGACAGCAATTCTTCTTTGTATAAAAAAATAATAACGACATTTAAAAGGGCATTCATCTAATCTGCTTATGCCAAAAATAAGAATAAAAAGACGGAGGAGAAGCACAACTTTTGGATATGCATCAGTGTCCCTCTGTATAATATGTAGAAAATTACAAGAATGAAGGAGCGCAGCATGCTTGCTAAAAATGTTCCTTGTTCATGTGACGTGGTTACTCAAAGCAAATTATTTATATGTTGAATATTTTACGGAAAGTGAGAGGTGTTCAACTTAAACTCATTTCCTTAAAGGCCCAACGTAGACAAAGTTTTTTTTCGGTATACCATACTTTCCGCCAGCATATAGAAAATAGTGCACGTTGAAAACCAGGAGAAAAGAGAAAAGCGCACAGCCATAAGCACACCTATGGACAACAGGCCTAAAGTGGAACAAGGACAAGAGCTTATTCCCAGTCTCGTATTATAAAGACGATAGTCTTTCTTATTGTACTTCGACGCTAAAATTTTGGTCTGTCTGTCAACTTGCCTGGTTCAAAACAGCTTGCTTTTTTCCCTTGTACTCCGTTTGTTTTTAATTCCTAAACCACAATTGCAGTGCCCACCAATAATACTCTAATTACTTCGTTCATACTAGTACGTAGTGTTGATTAAAAAGCAAACTTTGCGCATATCTGAGGCACAATATCAACACATCCATATACTGTAACGCGTTGTTTTAGACTATAAAATGCATACATAAGTAATTCTAAGCTATGTAGGGTTTAAAACGCTAAGCTGGCAATGCAACGCTATGCCCAAAAATGCGAGTGTTACCTGCGCTTTGCTAAGGTAGTGGCACCTACCCGCTGTGCGCATCCAGACAATTTAACGCAGCGCCTCCAGAATCCCATTCACTCACTTTCTCACGCAGAACATCAGATAAATGTTTCATTCCCTCTGTCACAGAACGAGCGCTAAAAACGGGCGCGCCGCCAAATGCTTGCGATAACGCGCCCAGAGAGACGCGGCGAGGTCAAAGAAAAAAAAAGAAAAGAGAAAACAAGCATCCAAGGCTCCCCGGGCGCGCGACGCCTCTCCTCTCGGAAGCGTGGCTTCGCTGATGAACCTCCTCACCCCACAGCGGCGGCCGGGCAAGCGCTAGAAATTTCCAGAAGGAAAGGGGCGTATATGCCGAGTTGAGTCATCTGTCGGGGACGGCCCCCGTACAGTCTCGCGCCTCTCCCCAGCCTCCGCTGCGCATCGCGCCGACGAAATGAGGAGAACTTTCTGGAATGTCGCGCGGAAGGTATTTAACCGAGCAGCGGAGACGAGAGATCAGGAGAAGACGGAAGTTGCGCCAGAGTGCGAAGGGATCCCGCCGTGTAGTCGGCGAAGGTTTGTCCGTAGGGACGAAGCAGGAGATGGAGAGGATTTCCACCTGAGGGGTGAAGGCCCGAGCTACAGGCAAGAGAGTGTGTTTACCGCTATCGAGCGAAGACGCGTGGCGACAGCTGCGTGTGTGAAGCCGACGTGTTCCGGCGAAGAAGTTTGAAGCTTGGAGAGTGGCCAATTGAAGGCGCGAGGTTTCCTGGAAGAGAAACTTTGAGGGCGCGGAACGACAACAACGCTGGACTTTGAGTGAGGGATTCTCGCAAGAGTATCATCCAGACTTTTGTTCCAAGAACTTTGGACTGGATAGGTTTCTATCTCTTTAGTCTTTAAGTGTCTTGTTTGTTCAATGCATGCGACTGCATTGTAGAGCGTATCGTTCGATGTCTATGTCCGTTGTTTTGAGTGTGGCTGATTGTACTGTGTAGTACGTTGTTTGATTGGTGACGTATTGTATGTAACTGTTGTGGAGTGTGCATACGTGTGTATTGTTTTTGATCTGCCGTTAATGAGAATATAGTTTTGTTTGTTTATCAACTCTCGGCTCTGACTTGTTCTTTGGACCACAGCCGGCGTCTGCTGGCGCGCCAAAAAGGACCACTTCTAAATTGTCCACGCTTTCGTGGTGCGGTTCGGGGGGCCGATACTTCGACCCTTGGAATTAGCCCGGCGATCGCCTCCCTAATTAACGGGATCGGTGTGACAATTATTCTGGCGTCCGCGAAACAGGACCTTTTGGTGCAAAGTGTGTCCAAAGTAGTGAGAAAGAGCCTCGAGTTGTTGATAGTGCTATCGGAACGATTTTGTGTGTTGTTCAGGTGTCTCGTTAACGAGTGCAGTGGAGTGTTCCGATAAACTGATTTAGGCAGATACTTTTTTACACGCGGCAAGGTTTTAGTTGCGAGTTGCGAGACACCATGGATCTCGAAAAGTTAGTCGCTCTTGGTGAGAAGATGGGTCTTTCTGGCGCCGAACTACGGAAGTGGGTAAGCCAGAAGGAGAAAGAGGCGGTGGAGAGAGAGAGGTTGGCAGCTGAGAGGGCCAAGGAAGAAAAAGCAGCTGAGTTGGAGAGAGAAAGACTGGCAGCAGAGAGGGCTAAAGAAGAAAGAGAGGAAAGAGAACGGCAGCGACAGCACGAGATAGAACTCGAGCGGCTCCGTTTGCAACAGCGAAGCGAAACTCCCGTCCAAGCTAGAGTTGAAAGCAGCGAACGGGAAGATCATGGCTTCCGCTTGAACCCAAGCAAGCTGCTCGTGGCGTTTGATGAAAGGAAGGACGACCTTGACGCGTACCTTCACCGATTCGAGAGGATTGCGAGGAGCCAGAATTGGCCGGAACATCAATGGGCAACTGCTTTGAGTACTTGCTTGAGTGGTGAAGCGCTCAGTGTGTACGGTAGGCTGACGCCGACCGATGCAGCCAACTATGCAAAGGTGAAAGCTGCTTTGCTGAAGCGATTTATATTTACCGTGGAAGGATTCCGGGACAGATTTCGGACAGGAAAGCCAGCTGATGCTGAGACGGCTACGCAGTATGCCGCCCGACTTTGCCATTATTTTGACAGATGGATTGAACTTTCAGGGACAGCGCAGGAGTACGATGAGCTTAGAGAGCTCCTAATTAGAGAACAATTTCTTTCTAGTTGCCACCCAAGCCTGTCGCTGTACATGAAAGAGAGTAAGGCTGAGTCACTTGAAGGAATGCTTGAATTGGCTGATCAATTCTTGGAAGCGCAAGGTGGAACTAATTTGGCCAAGGTCAAGAAGGATTGTCCCGATGATTCGAAGAAATTGGCTCCCGAAGAAAAGAAGCGGGCACCAGAGAGGATTCCGCGATGTTTTCTGTGTAACCGAGTGGGTCATTGCGCGAAAAACTGTCGAACGATCTTTACGAGCCCTACGGTAGTAAAATGTTTTAAGTGTGGTCAGACTGGGCACAAAGCAGAAGCTTGCCGAAACGGGGCGAGTCAAACTCACCAGGTATCCTGTGTGCAAGCGGCACCGAAATCCGGTAATGATGCCGTCACTGATGGATTTGTAGAGTTGAAAAATGGGGAGAAAATTCCTATTGTGGGTGCTGTAATGTCAAAACAGCCAACCGATGTTACGAAGGGAATGCCAACGCTGCCTGGAAAAGTTGCGGGCAAAAAGATTACGGTGTTAAGAGAGACCGGCAGCTCCACTGTTATCGTACGAAGAAGCTTGGTAGGGGAAAGCGAGTTAACCGGCAAAACGAAACCGGTTTGCTTAATTGACCGTACAGTTCGGATGCTTCCCGAAGCAGAGATTGAAGTTGAAACCCCATACTTCAGCGGGAAGGTTACGGCTCTATGTATGACGACCCCCCTTTACTACCTTGTCATCGGAAACATCGACGGGGCGCGAGAACCGAATGATCCGGAATGTTTGGGAGAAGACCTTAAGATAGAGCCCTCGCCAACCCTACGACCGCGAGATACAGTGGAGGAGCAACCCGTGACGGATCCCACTCGAGCCCAAGGAGAAGCCGCGGTGCAAGGTACTATGAATGATAAAATGATCGTGTTGAACGAGTTCACGGGCCGGGCTACTGGACTTACGTCGGCACGACCTCAACCGACCGACAGTGCAAAGGAGATGGAGTTGGCCAGCCGGGCAAAATGTAGAGACATGATCAAGCTGGTAAATAAACAGACAAGACCCGTCGAACGTCATGACCCGTTAGCAGGGTCGGAAGTGACAACGATGGCTGAGACGCTGCCTCAGATACCGTCGTTGGAAAAGACTCGCCGAAAAAGAACAAGGAAAAACAAG